TTTTCTTTTTTTTAAATAAGTTTGTTTTTTAGTTTCTTTATAACTAAGTTAAGATAAGTTTTTCCAGCGCCTTATTAAAATGTTAAAACTGCCGCTAAATCGTCAAAATAAAATATTATTTGAGTGGTCATATAAAGCTGTATAATCACCTGCCTTACTGACCAAGTCTGTATATATATATATATATATATATATATATATTATATATATATATATATATACATATATACATATATATATACATATATATATATATATATATATATATATATATATATATATATATATATATATATACTTATATACATATATATGTATGTATTTATATATATATATATATATATATATATATATATATATATATATATATATATATATATATATATATATGTATATATATATATATATATATATATATATATATATATGTATATATATATATATATACATGTATGTATATATATATATATATATATATATATATATATATATATATATATATGTATATAAATATATATATATATATATATATATGTATGTATGTATGTATATATAAATATGTACAGGCCTTGTGATGAATAAATACTGCGCAACGCATAAGCACGACGTGATTTTTGACGTCATTAAATTCTTTTTATTTGCTTTTCATTTATTGATATAAACTGCACCAATTTACTTAATTACCGCAAAACTACTTTAAATCATTAATGTAAATTGTTATTATTTAAAAATGTTTTGGAATGTTTCGTTTTTTAAAATATAAAAATATTTGTTTTTTTTCTCGATGTTTGACACGTTTTGTCTATACTAAACAAATAAAAAAACATTATAACTAAACATTTAAAAAAGATTATAAAATATGCTAATACTTGATTTTTTTTTTCTCAAATATGTAATTTAAAGTTTTTCAAATTATTATTTTTTCTTTTTAAAAAGTCAGCGAGTGATAAACTGGAAATTTATATCGAAATATCAATGTATTTTTAAACGTATATAAATAATTATAATAATAATTAACAATGTATTATTTTTTGGCAATTATTTATTTATGGTTGATCTTAAATATATATATATATATATATATATAATTATATATATATATATATATATATATATATATATATATATATATATATACAGCCCTCGGAAAAAGGGTTGGCATTCAGCAATGTCTACCTAACAGCTAATCTAAAAGTGTTTAAGGTCGGCAAATTTTTGCCGACCTTTATTTCTATGTTTTATGGTTACCCCTTTGTGTCAAAATATATTTGCTGATCTGATGCCAGCCGCATGACAGTTTGAGGTTATTTATTAATTGCCGACCTCATTTTTCTGAATTCCGAGGGTTATATAAATACATATGAAATTAAATTGTTAATAATTAAAAATTAAGTTATAAAAAAAATTATGTATAAAATTAATAGATTAAAGTATTGTATATGTATGTATATACCTACCCACAAGCAAAAAGATTCATTTAGATAAACATCATATATAGAGTCAAATTGGGAAACATTAGAATCAATTTCATCATGCTGATGAATTTTTTTTTTAGCAAATAATGCTGATAGAAGGAAAATAACCAAACTTAAAGTACAATATGATTTCAATGAAGGAACAGGGAGTCTTTCAGAAAAGAAAAACGGCATCACAACCAGCGTGTTTCCTATAATGATATTATTATAAAAATTTATAACTTTCCTAAAAAATATAAATTTGTTTACTGCTATTACCATAAGATATTTTATGTTTTAACTAAGAAATCATTATACAACAATATGTAATATACTGCATTTGTTTTACAATAATATTTATAATAATTATAAATAACAACAATAATAGTAGAAGTATTAATATTAATAATAGTAGTAGTATTAATATTAATAATAATAATAATAATAATAATAATAATAATAATAACAATAATATTAACAGTAATAGTTATTATTATTATAAATATACTTCAAATATAAAAAGATTGATAAAACACATAACACATAATTCTTAACTCATAAATTACGCCTAATTTCTAAAACTTTATTAGAATATATATATATATATATATATATATATATATATATATATATATATATATATATATATATATATATATATATATATATATTAAAATTTATAAAATGTTAAGTATATTATAAGTATATGAGTAAATTATATTTATAAGTATATGTTAAACTATCATAATAACAATAATAATGTAATAAGTATTACAAATTAAAATTTTTTTATTTAAAACTCTTTCTAAAATTTAAGAAATTGTCTAGATTATTTAATCATAAACAATAAATGTTATTATGCTATAGTAATTTGCTAGGTTATTGTTAGACTATACTAACTTAAAAATTATAATAACAACTATAATTATTATTATTATTGTTATTATTATTGATATTCTCATATTTGGCAAAAAAATAATTTTTTATTAAAAAAAAAAAAATTATACGAACATTCGTATTTATTTATTTTTAATATTAAGATTGTATATCACGTATTTTTAATAGATGCATAAAAGTAAAGAAAAAGTTAAAAATTGGGATTGTTAACTTTTTAAATTTGTATTTACCTCTAGTTTCAGGAATTAATGTGTTTGTTTTTTATCAAGACTTCCAAAAAACGAAAGCGTAGTGAAAAGAGATTTTGGACGCCGTCGAATATTCTAAATTGATTCATGGAGAAAAATAAATAAAAACAAAACAAATCAAAAAAGTCACTGACTGTTGTTTAACAGTTTTTAAAATTATAGTCAAGAATTTTTTACATATTCATAGTTAGATATTGAATTGATTGAAATATTGAAATGAGTTTATTCTAAAATTATTTATTTATAACCTTTTCACATTATTCGCATTTCGCATTGGTTTCTTCTATGCATGGTTAATTACTTGAGTTTAGTAGTTATTAAATTCTTTTGGTTTACTATGCTAAAAGAATTTAATGAGATATTAAATGTTATGCTTAACTTCTTTATTTACAAAATAAAGTATTTTTGTTAAATTTTCAAATACTTATTTATCACAGTTGTGGGTTTGTCCACGGGGAGGTGTCTGGCTAAAAGTTGTCTTCTTAAACATAAAATTAACTTGCATTTTTGTTGCAACCAGGGATGCGGAGTCCCAAAAGGACTCCGGCGTAATATCTCTTTTTTTTTCCTGTTCTTTGGTGTCCAGAAGCTTTAAACATTTTGTTTGGCTTATGATTAGCTATAAGAAAAAAACTCATGAGATGAAATGACTTTGAACTTATTGTTTTTAAACTCAGATTCCCGGAATCCATGCCGCTATTATACTTAAGGACTCCTTGCCTTTTACATAAAGACTGCGGTTTCAAAAATTAATAGTTTCTCTAATCTAAAAATCTTGATTGTCTACCCATCCAAAAAATTCAAAAACTTTTTTATATTTTTAGAGCTCCTGAATATCAAAAACATGGAAGAAGTAATCTTTTTGTGACTTTCAAATCCGGAGACCCTTTTGAGACTCCGTATCCCTGGTTGCAGCACATGCGTTTTTTTGGCAGAGAAAAAGATGGGGTGGGAGAGAGAAAAGAAAGGAGAAGGAAGAAAAAAAATATTTTTTGTACTAATTTTAACTAGACTTATATTTATCGATAAATTTTAAATTTTATAGTAAAATATTTCAGCTTTCAAAAATTATAACATTATAAAATTTGCGACCCCTCAAATTGAGGGGGGCTTAAACTTTATATGGTCAAAATTTTTGAACACTGAAATATTTTACTATGAAATTTAAAATTTATCGATAAATATAAGTCTAGTTAAAAACAGTACAAAAAATTTTCATCAACTTGTTGCTCTCACGTTTGGGGCAGGGGAGCACAAATTTAGGGGCTTTTTGTTCCCAAGCTCCAATCATCGCATTTTTCTGCAAAGCATCATTATTTGACATAAGTGTAAACATATAAATGTTTGGAGTTTGCCCCATATCTGGAAAATAGATATCTCGAAGACCAAATAATGCTGGATACGGACCTGATATATATATATATATATATATATATATATATATATATATATATATATATATATATATATATATATATATATATATATATATATATATATATATATATATATATATATATATATATATATATATATATATATTAAAGCCTATTCGCAAGTTTAATTAAAAAAAGGTAAAGATCATTAAATTTAAAGGGAATTTAAAAAAATTAGATTTATTATTATTGGTTTTTAACTTTAAATTAAACTAGCGCAGTAGAGTAGTAGCGCAGTACTGACTTTTGAAGGATATGCGCACCGTAGAGTATATACATATTGACTGCTTATCTAGGGATAATACAACGACAAGGGTTTTGGCTTGGGCAGGTAATCTTTTAATTAAAAAAAAGAAGTATTTCTTAATGTTTGTTTTACCTATTGGCACGTTTTTGCTTGGGCAGGTAATCTTTTAATTAAAAAAAAGAAGTATTTCTTAATGTTTGTTTTACCTATTGGCACGTTTTTGTTTATTTTTTTAAATAAATATTTATTTATGTTAAAATTTTATTTATTTTTATTTTTAATTGATTAAAAAAATCAAATTGCTTTCAAATTATATGACTTAAGCTATAAACATTTTTTTGTTTGTGAGAGATTTTATATTAAAAGTTTAACTTAAAATTTTTTTTTAAAGACTATAATAAGATATTTAAAAAGGTGAGTGCGCAGCAATGACAGAATATAGATAACCATTAAAATAATATTATACTCCATATAATATTGGAAGAGTCAGCTCGGACGCTCTTAACTGATAACGCGCGAGGCTTTGTAGATAGGCACGCGGTAAATTTTTTGTATTTCCTGTTCAACTTTTATAAATTTTTGAAATATCTATGAATCTTCTATTATCATTATCATAAATGATATAATTATTTAACATATATTTTGCCAGGATGTTAATTTTATAAATGCTAAAGTTGGCCTTAATTAGTATTTTTGTAGTTGGTTAATGTACCAATTTTTAATTGATGATGCAGATGTAGTTAAAATAGTTTTGTAAAATATTTTGTTTTGTTATTATGTATAAATAAATTGATTTCCAGTAATTAGATGTGGTGTATTTTTCTTTTTTTTTTTTATTTTGGTTCATTTTTTCAGATTAAACAGATGACGTGCTTGTTCAATAAAGTTATGCATTTTGAAAACAATTGAAAATTGTTGTTTTGTTAATTTGTTAATAAATGTGTAAATAAAAATATATTTTTTTAAAACCACAATCCGTAATGATTTGAATTTTATCTATGAGAACGATCTATGCAAAAATCTAACATGTTAACTTCAAGTTATGTAAATTAAATAAAATTTTACATATTTACTTTTCTCAAATTTTATAGATTTATTTGAAATTTCCATTGTGGCAATATCTCCTTAATTTTGATTTATAGCGTTTTATAAATTTTGATAAGTCTTTGGTTTATTAAGTAGTTTTAAAAGATGATAAAGCATGCCTAAGTGGTTGAAGTGCCTCGTGTGGGTTCAAATCCTTTCGCTTACACACGATTTTTTTTTTTTTTTAATCTTTTCTAAGTTTTTAAAATAAAAAGTAACATATTTTTAAAGACCTTTGGATATGATATGGATAACACATATAAAGTTATTACATGCTATAAAAAACGAAATGGAGTGAATTTTTTAAAAAGCTTTTTAAAATTTCTAAAAACAGAAAAACATCGTTGGAAATTTTTTCGCGTATGCCATGATAGAGATACGTTATTAATGTGATTAAGTAATTAGTTAAGCCTGCGCGTTTAACACGACAACTTTCTTTCATAGCCTCGTAGGATTCTTGCCCCGTTTTTTTTTTCAAAAATAACGGGGCAAGAATCCTAATAAGCTGGGGATAGTCTGAAAAATTAATAGAAACTTATTAAAGGAAAAATAATTAGGTCCCTCTCTGTTTTTTTTTTGTTCTATTTTTTATAGAGATTATAAAGTATTGAACATAAATCGTTAACTCAAAACAAAGATTTTTATATTTTGTTCTTTTTTAAAATTTATTGAAATAAAGCGAAATTATTAAAATGGTCGAAGTGGAATAGACTTATCATGACTAGTATACTAATTACGGTAAGTCCGTTATTCCACATATTTAAGTCATCTCATGTTTTTTAAAACAGAGACACAAGCAAAACTCATGCAATGAGTCAAGAAGATCCTACATTTAACATCTTTAACGAGAAACAATGTATAATACACATATCTATGAAAGTTTTAATCGTTTAACTTGCCCTGATACTCTCGTGCAACCTTAAAGTATAGTTTATTTTTGCTAAATGATAAATGCATCGAGCGATCTTTAAAAGCAAAAAGTTTTTACCTGCTGGAATTCGAGGAGAACGGACTTGTTTTTTGAAAGTTTGTAAATTGTTGCTGTTTTTAAAAGTTGTTTTGAAAGTCTGAAAATTGCTTTTAAAAGTTTAAAAATTACTTTGTTTTTGAAATTTGTTTTAAAATTTAAAATGTTTTGAAAGCTGTTGTTGTTTTGTGAAAGCTTTTTTTGGCGGGAACTCAAAGCAAACGGACGTTTTTGAGAACTGTTGTTTGTTAAAAATTATTGCTGTTGTTTTTAAAATTTGTTTATAAAATTGTTGTTGCTCTTTGAAAGCTGTTTTTGGCAGAATTCTAAGTGAACGGAAGTGTTGTTGGAAGTCATTGCGCAATTTAACAAAAGAAAAGTGAAATTAGTTATTATAAAATAAAAGAATAAAAGTAAATAGAAATTATATTTTAAAAATATCGAGAAATTAATTTTTAACAAACTTAAAGAATTAAAAAAAATATATTTAAAACGAAACTGAGCGTTTATAAAAAGATCAACTTTAAAAAAAGCAGATTTAAAAATACTTACTAATCGATTACATAAAATTGAAAAAGTTAAAATTAAATGTTAATTTCTGAGTAACAAACATTTCGAAAAAAATGAATGAGATCACAAAGAGTTAAAAATGAAATGAACAATCTTTATAAAAACATAGTAGATTTGCACAACCGTTATCGACGGAACAACTTAAGAATAGATAAGATAAATTAAAAAAACCAGGTGAAAATTGAAACGAGTGCAAAAATGTCGTAAAAAACATGTTTAAAAAACAACTTTAATTCATCAACAATATTATTATAGAGACAGCTCATATAATACGTTAACCAAAAGACGATAAAAAACCGAGAATTATTTTTTCTAATTTTATTAAAGTTTCAGGATAAAACAATAATACTCAACGCTATTAACTTACCTCGTAAGTTTTTAATAGCGTTGAGTATTATTATTTTGTTGTTTTTATTTCAAAATCCGCATTTACATTATTGCGTTTAAAAACTGCAATAATCTAAATGCGGATTTTGAAGAAGAGACGATCGAAAACTGAAAGGTGACGGAAAAAGTCAAAAAGTTACGATTTGAAGGTAAACATAGTTATAAATAGGTACGCGTAAATCCGACCTTACGGGACTGTTTTCTGCCAATAATTGTGGGCTGCACCCTGCATCACCAAATTCGCTGAAATTTGGCACAAATGTTTAAAGATATAAGTTAGGAAAGGCTGTAAAATTTTTCAAAAAATTCTTAACCCTTTAAGATTTACAGCAACTTGAAGTTAGTTATTTTTTGACTGAATAAAGCCGGAAATATGTCAATTTACCATTACCCTTTTAACTAACTTGTAATAATGTTGCGAAGCTAAAACTTGGTACCAAAGGAGTTTAAAACCTGCTGAATCTGAAAATCATAAACTTATATCTCTCAAAACAATAAAATATAGTTTATTTTTAGATCCACAAAACGCACTTGTTAATGACAATAAAAAAGGCCATTGACAACTATAGTTCTAGAAAAAATCTGACTGATGAAAAAAAGTTTTAGTTTTCGCTATTTTAAATATCTACTTTGCGAACCAATTTTTATTTGGCGTTATGTTTTATCAAGGAGTTATTGATGTTTTAGTTTTTCAATTTTTCTAAAAATATTTTGCAAAAAAAAAAAAATTTGCAAATTTATTTTGAATACAAATACAATTATTTTTGTTTTGTAATAGCTTTGTAAAAAATTTACAAAGTTATTACAAAACATAGTTGAACATTTTATAAATTTGTTTCTTTTTACTTTCATTACATAATAATAATGTCATTTTCATTACATAATATCATGTCATTAAATTTAACAATATTATGTAACTTTTATTGTTGATTGTTTTGTAGTAATAAAACATTTATTATCATCAATAAAAAAAGTAATAAAATGATATAATAATGTATAATGTCTAATTAACATTACCATGTTAAGTTACAAAACTAAATAAAATTATATTTAGTTATCTTTTACTTTTACACAACTTTTTGTAAGTAGTTAATGGAGAATTTACAATAATTAGTTGATAGTTAGGCATTTAAAATATGTCTATTAAACTAATAGCTACTTGTTCAGGCAATATGTCCTTTATAAATACATATTGATATGATATTGCTTGTGTTCAAGTGTACTTTTCTTGTTAGGGACATTAAGATTATTTAAGATTTCTTGTATTAAGTGTTTAGACAGAGATTCCTCATTATATTTTTATATGGATAACAAAATTAATTGCTGCTTTGTAAATAATTATGGAGCTTTTTATAAACAATCATATACTCAAGAAAGAAATCTTATTGAAGATATTGACAGCAATGATCGTAAGCTACTTGAAAAACAAACAAATCTGAAACAAGAACAAATTACTAATATATACACACACCATCATGATATGTTAGTTGTAAGATATGAGTCACCAAAAGGTGTGTAGAGGTAAAAATTTATATATTTATATTTCATTAGGTAATATCCTTATTAATAAGTCATATAAGTTTTTTTGGTAATAAGATTTGTTTAATGTTTCATAGTTAATAATATAACAAATTGTATAGTAATGTAATTACATAATATATAATTAATGTTATTTAAGTAATGTAATTACTTTCTTTTTAAGCATCTCTACGTGTGATTACAATGCATACTGTGTTAGAAGCAGAAACCATAGGTTTAAATCTTATACCTGGAAAAAAACTGGGTCGAACCTGTCGAAGTAAAGTTATGACATGTTTATCAAAAAGTATAAGTGAAAATAAAAATCATGAAGATTTTGATATTGTTAATGAAAGATCCATTCAAAATAAAAAAGAAAGTGTAGATACACACTTTACATCTGCCGGAGTATCTCCAATTAAGGTCAAAGGATTGCACAAGTCAGGTAAAATCAGAGAAGGTAAATGAAAATTGACAGCATTAACAACCTCCATTAAAAAAGGTAGCCATTTCCCTTAATATATCAGAAGAAAGTTTTGAAGAACAGTCAAGTTTTAATAATGAGTATATGAAAAAAGCAAACTTGTTTGATAACATGATGGTATTGTTAACTAACAAAATTGCAGAGTCTACATCAACATCAAGAAAAGTACAACTTGCGACACTTGCCCCAACAGACTGGTCAATAAAAAAGGTATCTGAAACATTGCATGTAACAAACTATGTAGTTCGAACTGCACGTAAGTTAACATTAGAAAAAGGTATTTTAACCATGTCTAATCCTAAATTAGAAAAAGCTCTTCCTGATGTAACAGTTCAACTAGTAAAGAACTTTTACGAAGACGATGAACATAGCCGTATAATGCCTGGTAAAAAAGACTATGTAAGCATAAAGAAAAATGTCCACATTCAAAAACGTTTGCTCTTATGTAATTTAAAGGAATTGTTTGTTGCCTTTAAAACCAAGAACCCAGAAATAAAAATAGGATTTTCAAGGTTTTGTACCTTGCGACCTAAATAGTGTATTACTGTTGGTGCCTCAGGAACACATTCTGTATGCGTCTGTGCTATTCATCAGAATTTGAAACTGCTTTTACATTCTCTTGATGATTATTGACATACAAAGAATTGTTACCTTATATTGTCTGTGATATAACTAATAAAGACTGTATTATGAGGAAATGTGAAAAATGCCCAGCAACTATGAATGCATTGGTTGAAAAACTTTATGATATACTTGGAGAATTTGAAGATGATGATGAGATTGAATTTGATAAATGGACAACAACAGATAGGTCAAACTTGACACATAATAAAGAGTCAGTGTTTGAATACATTGAACTAGTATGTAGAAAACTGGAAAAACTTGCACCACATTCGTATTTAGCAAAGAGTCAAGCATTATACCTGAGATGAAGAAAGAAGATATAAAGGAGGTAACATCATTATTTCTGGGTGATTTTTCAGAAAACTATAAATTTGTAGTTCAGAAAAGTGCAAAGCTTTCATTGGACAAATTTACAATGTACACTTCATCCAGTGATTATTTATTTCAAAAAAGAAAGGCATTCTCAAGCACAAATCCTATTGTATTATTTCGGATGATCCGATCCATCATGTGAACATGGTTTATAAAATTATTGAGGTTGTTTGCAATGATATAAAAACAAATTTGCCTCAAATAAAAAATATTGAATACTTTTCAGATGGGTGTGCAGGTAGTATAAGAATTGCAAAAATATGTTAAATCTTTGTTTCCATTGTGAAGATTTTGGTTTTACTGCTAAATGGAACTTTTTTGCAACTAGTCACGGTAAGCAACCTTGTCATGGAATAGGTGGTACAGTCAAACGTCTGGCAACACTAGCAAGTTTGCAAAGAGATATGGATAATCATATTTTATCTCCACAAGCAATGTATAAATATTGCAATGAAAACATTGAAGGCATAAATTTCATATATATTTCATCAGAAGATTTAACTTTGGTGGGAACCGCTCTTAAAGAACGATTGGATTCTGCTAAACAAAAGTTAGTCGTTGTTCTCAATTATAATTATATCTTAAACAATGTTAGTTTCTAAATGAAATAACAATAAGTGTAAACAACAACAATATAAAACAATATAAAAACAATATAAAAACAAGAAATGACTAATGTCACTATTTCTACATACCCTTCCATGTTTTTAAGTGTCAATGAATATAAACATAATTTCTTGGTTCATTTCTTAAAATCATCTAATGTCAAAGATTTTCCGGTTTCTGGTTGGTAGAATTTCTTGGAGATACGTAACCTGGATGAACGTTTAAATGGTTGATCTCCTTCAGTATTCAATAAGGGACTTCCGTATTCAATAAGGGTGGCATTGCTAGATGCGGCGAGCTTGTTGATAAAGATGCTGGCATCAACGGTAAGGGCACTGGAGTTGTTGGTAGAGGTAGTGGTGGTACCGTTGGTGCTAATGTAGGAGGCGGTAGCAATACTGCAGATGATGCTAGTTCCGGTTGGGATGGTGTGACTTTGTTGCTACTTTCTGGGATATACTCTGTAAATGGTGTTAGCAAATTGGCAGAGTTATAGTGACTAGAGCTTGTTTTTGGTGGTGTGGTCAATGCAACTTCGGTTTCGTATGACTTTAGTGGGTTGATGAATTTGCGCAAATATTTTCTATTTCTCAATGTTAGTCGACCTGTTCCTTCAACCTTAATGATGTATTGGTCATTTTCCTTACATTCAACAACTTTTCCACTACGATCCCATTTTTTAGGGTGGTTCCCTACTTGATTTTGTATGAAGACACTGTCTCCTTTATGTAGTGGTGTGACAAAACGTGTGTGTTCTTGAAGTGATTCAAGGGTCTTTGGATATTTCGTTCGTAATGCTTCTTCTTTTGCAGACCATGCATGTCTCCACGTTTTCGAGAATTGGTCGTTATTAAACATAGGTATTCTGGATTTTATCCTTGGCATGGCGTCGCAAATGGGATGGCCAAATAATACTTGAGCGGGGGATAACTGACAAGTAGGGTCTGGTGTTATTGTAAGCATTGCCCTCACAAAATCATTTTATCTGTGTCGTTTCGTATCGAGGCTATTATTAGTGATTCTGTGTTGTCAAAATCGGTATTTTGATTGCAAGTGGCTAAATTAACAAATTCCTTTGTGTTCTCTGCAGGATAACGAGAAATAGCATCTGCTGCCAGCTTTGTTTTTCCTGGTTGATGTTAGATGGTAAATTTCCATGGCAAAGTTCTCTGTTTTAGTCGGAAAAGTCGTGTGTTAGCAATTTCATCTAAGGTCCTATCTCCTAATAATTTGACAAGTGGTTTATGATCAGTTACTACCATAAGGTTATCACAACCTTGTGTGAAATATTTAGTTTGCTCCAGGCTCCATGCCACTCCTAGCATTTTGCCTTCAACTGGTGCATACCGTTGTTCAGCAGATGGCAGGAATCTGGACCCTGCTAGGGTTATTTTCCATCCGTCTATACAGCAATCTGGGGAGTCCGATCACATTCACAATGTTTTTGGCTTAGGTAATATCCTATCCCCAATTTTTTGACCAGTCGCATCTTAAACAGGTCTTCTTGGTAATGTCAAATATTTGGACTCCATCTTTAATTGCGTTGATGATTTTTTCCTTTGACACGTTGAATAAAGTGTTGAGTTCGTCCGACCAATAAAATTTTGATTTAGGCAGAACTATTTAGGCTAAGCAGAACTCTAAATGGGGCCATAGTTTCTCGTAATTTGAGCGTAATGTGATACTTGGGTCATTAAGCCGAACCAAGATTGGATGTCTGTTATTTAGGATGGTGTTGGAAATGATCTAATGGCGTCGAAATATTTAGGTAGTGGTTCAACTCCAATTTTAGATATTCTGGAACCTGCAAAATCCACTATTCTTTTAGCAAATTGGAAATTTTGTGGGTTCAAAATGATCCCAGCTTTACCAACAAGCTCAAGAAATTCGATTGTCCGCCACCAATGTTTGACTAGGTCGTCATCGTAGTAGATGGCGTCATCTACACATCTTTGTTTGCCAATAAAGTCTACTAAAATTTCGTTGAAACGTCTGTTGTAGCCATCCCCACTAGATACAAAACCTTGAGGAGCTCAGATGTATCTGTAGCGCCCAAAAGGAGTAATGAAGGTGCTAAGATTCCTGTCTTCAACCCGTATCGGAATGCTATGATAACCATTCCATGCGTCGGTTACAGTTTTCCGTGAATTTCTTGGGACTGAACGAGCTAGTTGGAAAGGCAATTTCATTGCATGAGTTTCTCTGTAGCAGTACTTGTTTAAAGGAGATAGATCAACAGTGCAACGAGGCCCACCGTCATGCTTACATGTGATAACCATACTATGACACCATGTTGTAGGTTCTCCTAGAGGTACCTTTTCAATAACTCCAAGAGTTTCATCACGAATTAAATCCTTTTCCGCCTGGTCTTGCCAATGGGTTGGTATGGTGGCTGGAGTAAATACTGCAACTGGTTTGGTATTTTCTTGAATTAAAATACTAATTGGAGGTCCCTTCATATCAGGTAAAATCTGGTGTGGACATGTGTTAAATGTTGAAGCAGAGTATCTCTCAAGGAGCCAAGCTTTCATCCGTTCGTTGTTTTTGGGACAACAGACAAATGGAAGTTTGGTGGATGCACCTGCTGGGAGACTTCTTTTGGGGCAATTGCACATGTGTGAGGTATTATTTTCACTGGATGTTTTGGTCCCTATAGTTTGGGGGCCTGAGTTAATAGCTCCGTGGAGGGCACTGCCTATCTCTGGAAAGTCCTTAGAAATGATACCCAGTTGGGTCATTGCTTCTTTAGATAGATAGAATCCGTTTGCGTCTGGACTTATGAAAACCATAACTGCACATTCAACTTTATGACCATTAGATTGTCGTTCTTCAAGGCGTAAAAGAATTGCACCATCTATACGAAATTATGTTTTATTTGCGGCCGACATGCTATGTTTCACAGGTATTAAATTGTTTACATTAAAGCCTGCACTGTCAAACCCTTTCCTAGACCATAAGCAGGACTGTGCACCGGTATCTGTAATAACTTGTATAAATTTTGGTACAATGGTAGGAAATGAAATACCGAATGCGACATGCATTTCAGACTATTGTGACTACTAACAAATTGTCTGATTTTTTAGTAGTCACACGCAGCAGAATTGTAGGATGAACAAGCAATTGAGCTGCGGCCCATTTATCATGGGTAAATATGTGATGGTTTATTCCTGTGCAGTGTCGTTTCACATTGGCCTTCATTTGTGATCTCCTTTTTTTATTTGAATGCTCAATTGCACTTAACTTTAACACAAGTCCGCCTGCATCAACATCTTTGGTTGCATTCGATTTCTTATCATTTGGGATGATTCTGTTGTTAATTTTAGAAGTGCAAAATCTGAGCTTCTTCCAACAGTCTAGACACAGCTTGTGGGGTTTTTTGTTCCATCCTCTGGATGTTTCTGTAAATAAACTGTAAGATTCTGAGCAATCTGGACATTTGGCTGTTATATTGGTCCCTTCACTACTCTGTGTAACGCTCTTGTTTTGTTTCCTGAAAGTTGATACACTTGCTGTTGTTGAACTACAGCCTAGTGCATTTCGTTCCATTTCCTTGCCCTCTATAAAAGCAATGATATCTGTGACTGAGGCTGTGTCAAGGGAGACCCATCCAAGTACATCTTTGCGGATGTCAGTTTCTGATAGCCCAGCAACAACAATGTCTCGTATGATAACATCGGTAAAATCAACAGTTGTTTGTGGGTGGCAGTGGCATTAAACAGTGTAGTTGCAAGTAGCAGCCTTGCTCTTCAGTTTTGCATAAAATGACCGAATACTTTCGTTGTGTCCCTGCCTCATTTGAAGGAGTTCTGCTCTTCTGACGCTAGTGGCTACTGGGATAACGGCCAGTTTTTTCATTGCTTTTAGAAATGCCTCATCGTTTTCATTAATTATCATGAGATTTTCTTTCAGGAGTTGATTTCCAAGGTCGACTTACAACACTGAAACAGCGGTGCTGTCATCTCTTCTTGTGTGATGTCT